AAGTTTATTTATTTTCCTTAGATAAGTGTAATGTAGCTGTCAGCTACCTATAGTATTGTATTTGTGAGAGTTCTTCTCCAAATAAAATAATAAGCTTTCTTTTATTTGGAATTAAGGATCATTGTGTATGGGATACATTACTGCAATAGTTCTAGTCTTCATGTAGGAGACTAGACTTCTCTGTACTAGGCAATGGTTTTGTGTATCGATAAGAACTTGGTTTCAAGTTAGCAAAGCTAGGTAGATCATGTATGCAGCATATGTATCTAGGAAGAATGAATTTATGGTTTATATTTGTAGTTTATGATATTTGTTTTAGGTCGTTATACTGTTTTAATAGTGAACTGCATGTTTGAAAAAGCAGGGGTTTGCTTCCTTCAACTCTGTTGCATATAGATCTCCCCACTGGAGTTAGTGGCTATAAAGCTGTTTTCTTAAGACTGTGGGCCAAGGAGTAGGTGGGATTCCTCATCACTGCCCATACACAATGTCATCCTTAGAACTATGTGGTTTAGATTGTGCCTAGAAATCATGTTTGTAGCATGCAGTATGAATGTTCTTGCAACTGATCCGTCCACCACATGCTGCAGTTTGAGCTAGGGTTTGGATGTGAGGGTCCGAATCCTCTTTGCTCGAGTATGGAACACCCTGTGCAAAGGGTTACACAGGCACAACTTTTCAAATGTATTTACATGTAGCAATCTTGATGTGGTATATTATATTTAAGATGCAGTACTAGTAGGGACCTATTTTATTGAAATGCCACAAAGGAGTAAGTGACCCAGTAAATCTCCTTAGTAGTATTAAGAAATAGCTTGGTGACAATATTATCTGCATGTTGATCTTTAGCTTTTGCATTTGTTTAAGGACTTAGATGATTATTCGTCATAGAATGAAAGCAGTCCTTTTACATCAGTCATTGCCACCCACATAGAAGACAACAATTTTATTGTGAATACACAGATAATACAAAGAAGGCTAGTAATTCAGGGGAGAAACTTGGAGTTTGTAATACATGCATGTAATGATAATCTTTGATTGTAGCTGACAGAATAAATACTTTAGTTTTTTAATAAAATCTGTAAGGGAAAGTATAGCATTTCAGTGTTATGACTAATGATCCATATAACTGAGATATTTGTGGCCAGAGTAATAAATATTTATCTATCTGTGCACTCACACATACATATATATCTAGGAATTGTATGTACTCCATTTAAAAAAAAATAAAAAATATGTATTTATGTATCAGTTGGTGACATGGAAATAGAAAGAGTAAACTGTTTGCAAGTGCATTGGTACTACTATTTAAAAAGTATTGTCCTTAATATAGATGCAGCAGCCTAGATTCCAAGAAATCAATGCAGAATAATCCCGGTATTATAAAAGGCTGGTTTGGGAAGAAGAGAATGGAACAGGTGGCCTTGATGCTACATGTGAATAGGCAAATCTCAAGATCCTCAAGGAAAGGATTTTTGGACACTAGTTTCTATACCACTGGGATGTGGTATCTTTCAGTGTCTAACATTCTGCTTTGCTGTTACTGTAATGCCGCCTACTTGCTTGATAAAGGTGATAATTTTTCACTGGTAAGAAAATAGAGGATGTTGATGCTTAGATGAAGTATAGAATGGAAAGGTGGTTTTATCCCTACCTAATTACTTGCATTTTCCATCCACACTCTCTTCAGCGTGCATCATTATATTGTAACCTTACCAAGGACACTCCATGTTGTACCTGATGGGGAAGTCAGATTTTGTTAATTTGTTGTTAAAATGCTGCTAGTGAGATTTTGCACCACCTTTTTCATACTTAATATTAAAGCATATCAGTTACCTATATGCTTACACAATCAACATCTACCAATTGAGTAGTGCTAGAAAAATCACTAGTTAGCTAGCCTTGGGCACATGTGCTATATAGGAGCAACTCTGTGCTAAATAGGTGAGTCTTAGTGATGTGTGATAGTAAAAGTTAATATGTGTTTGCAATAAAAATTTATCATGTTTATATTTAAAATAAATGCAAAGGAATAAAGATACTTGACAAATGCTGAAAAATATTTTTAACTTGATAACTGACCACCTCTAGAAAAAACAGGTTTTTTGTTGAAATTGGATTTTTATTTTGTTTTCTTCTTCTTACATTTTCTTGAGTCTTCACGTGCTTTGATTCTGGAAAGTATGTTGAAATTGGACAATTGGTGAAATTTTTATACACGCAGGATTTGTTTTCATTTTGGTTTGTATTGGTTGACTTCAGTTGTGTTTGTGATGTTGGATGATCTTCAGGGCAGGAGCACTTTTCTTTATATGTACTTAGATTTTTTTTTTTTTAATTTCTAGATTTTCTAAACAATATTATTTGAAAAAACATATTTTGAGTTCTAGGAAGTGATAAAAAATAAACTGAATCCACTGGGGTACTTGGCGCTGTCTTGTCAAAGCAGAGTACGTGGAAATTGTTAATGTTCATATCTCATGAAGACAGGTGTCTTATGGAGCTACTTAGTGATGCTCACTTGAAAACTGCATGCAGATGTGTTGTACAATAACAAAACTGTTAACAGTGTACATTGAAAGGTGTTTTGTTCATTCTTTAAAAACATTCATCTCTCAAAGTAAAAGATACAAGCTTTCCTATGTTGAATATTTGAATCTGTACTTTTAAAGGCATATGGAAAGGAAGAGTTCTGTGGGATTTTTTCCGTACGTAGACTGTGCAGAAGAAAAGCTGGCCAGATTCCTTGCCTCTCTTACATGCTTGAGTACCTCCTTGATGGAGGCTATCTTTCTAAGCCATTTCCTGACACTTTGTACCATTTTCTTTTCTATTTTGTGAGATACTGTCAGACCCTGCGTACTGTCTTCCTCCCCATCCATTTTCATATAAGGAAGTCTGAAGTTCAGTATAAACTCTCTTGTATTGACTGGAAATGTGCAGGCTGTGGGGGACCTGTAGTCAACATTAAGATCTATATGTTAATTCTTTAACTGAGCTTTTAAAAAAAGCCTAACATGGCCCTCTAAGTCTTACTTTTCCTTTCTAATTGACCTGACAAAGAGATAATTTTTAATTACTTGTGGCTACAACTCTTTCAGTGCTTCAGAAAGCAGGCAGTTTGCGTATAAATCTATGTAGAATAGCTGATGCATCTCAGAATTTACACAACCCTTGAAACAATATGTATTGGGTCATATAAACAAGAACCTTTCAGCTATCCTGCTCCATTAGCCTTAAGGTCAGTTTAACCTGCCAGCTGAATGAGGCATATAGGTGCTCTGGATCATTCAGGTGGGGCAGAACTGTCAGCAGATAGCTTTGTTCTCAGCAATTAACCCTGTAGTGTAATGGCAGAAAATACATGACTGAGATGTCCCTAAGTACTATCCCTTGAGACTACTACACAGGGATAAGTACAGAGTTTCTTTAACAATATATCCATTCAAACAAATCAAGACAGCAACAAGAAGAAAACCACAAAAAAACCCTAGCCTAAGTTACAGGCATCTTTTTCTGAGTGAGGAAATTAAATTACAGTCCATAAAGCATAGGCAACTGTTACCAGGTTCATAACCAAAAAATAAATAAATGTAGTACTTTCTTGGTTAGGCATGTGCATGTATCTCTGCACATTTTTAAATCTCTTACCAAATGGTGATGGAGTGCCTTCATTACCACCAGCAGACAGAATCCCTAGCATCTTTTTTACTTAGTTTTCTCAGTCTATTGACATCATTTCAGTTTGATTCAGCAGGCTGTTAGTCACACCACATATTTACTTAATGGATACCAAAGCATATTACTAACCAGTCCGTGTACATGTCCTGTTTCACAGCCCCTCCTCCATATCAGAAAGAGGGATGTTCATCTTCAAGTAGCAGTCCAAGCGTACATATACAGTATTAGTCAGGACTAAGAGTATTTGTGCCCTTTTTCCCTAGAGGTATATGGAATACAGGGTGGGAGCACACCCAATGCCATTTCAGCTCCTGTAAATTGCCCTGTTGAGCTAGGGCACCCTGCTGCTGTGTTTCATCAGCTCCACAGCAAACTGTCTTTGCAATTGCCGTTCAGGTTGTCAGTACAACGCCCTGACAGTTCCCACGATTGTGTGTGCTGAGGATCACTGGGTTCCATGCTCCAGTTCAGGTGTGGGGGATTCTTTCTGCCTTGTGGCGGTACCTGCCCCTAAATGCTTCATCTATTTTTCTGATTAAAAAAAATATCCACGCTTAAGTTGCAGAACTGCATGCAGTTGAAAAGCCTGGGAAGACCTCATCAAGTCCTGTCTTCTGCGCTTTTGTGCTGGTAAAAACTCCCCATACCACATTAATCACAGACACATCTCTTAAGAAGCATACTTTGAGGAGCTGCTGCTTTCCTCTGCCATTTCAAGTTCAATATAGTGAAGCTGAAACTTTCAGAGTAAAGCCTTTATTGTAGAGACTTCTTTTCTTCACCTGCAGAGGCAGGTGAAATCTCCAGCACCAGCTCATCTGACCAGGTGATCTTCATCAACATGAGGTAGAACCATCACACAATCTAGTTGATATCATCAATCAATTATCTGTATCCTGCCATTAACGTTATCGCTGTCATTAGCAAGGTTGTCCTGCAGCCAGCTGTAATCATAGGTCCTGTCATTCTG